ATTATCAGTCGATCATTATACACCATTCGATAGCCCTTTTCAAGAGCTACATGTCTGACGGTTCAAATTTGAAAAAGCTCATTTTCGACTTTTTGGCCAAATGTCCGCTTGAATGCCCACTGTGTGTTGTTGTTCTGGAATATTTTCATTCTTAGATTTTTGTTCATCAATCTTTTGTTCCTCATATATTTTATCTATTACTTCATTTAATTTTTCTATAAAATTAGGTAGAAATGTTGTTAATTCATCTAACGCTTGTACCATATCATAAGCTTTTAATAATGTTGATAAACCGTTTATTTTCTGTGAAGCTATTCCTTTAGCTATATTAACAGTTATATTTAATAGTGCACTTTTTTGTACATCTGAATTCAACAATTCCATTGCTTTTGTTCTAATTAAACTTTCATAACGACTATTTCGATTTTTTCCATCTAATTCTAACATTATTTTTACACAAGAATTTTCCAGTAATGCATTTTGTATTGGTCCTTCAATTCGTTGCATAATCTCATCTTGTATTGCGGGCATCAAAGTTTTACTTACACCATAATCAACAAGTTGTGTTACTAATTCTTTAGTTATACCTTTAGCTAAACCAGTATCAATAGCTTTTGCCGCTATTTTCCATCCTTCTTTTACTATTGTTGTCAATACCGAACCAATACTTTTGACACCGGCAACTGCAGTTTTAGCAGCATCTTTTATTCCACTAAGTCCAGCACATACAAGAGATACAGTCAAACTAATTGCTTTTTGTATTCCATATGATACCCAGTTAAAATCTCGATTAATAATACCATCTTTTACTGCTGTTATAAGATCACCAACTCCTTCAATTATAAATCCTAAACCAATTGAAGCACCAGCTCCAAGAGTAAATACAACAAGTGCTGCTCCTCTAACTAATTGTGCAAGACCAAGAGCAGCAACATAAACTACTGACCACCAATCAATCGGTTTTATTTCTTTTATTTTGAAACATCCTCGAAATCCATTATTTTTATATTCATCAATTTCATCTTTATATAAATTAATATCTTGATCTTCCGGTAATGATTTTTCAATTTCCAAAAATTCAATTTCAATATTATGATTTTTTTTTCTTGCATGACCAATAATTCCAATTTCTCGTAATTGTTTATTTTTTTCTAAATTTTCAATTTGTTTTTGAATATTTTCAATATCTTCTTTTTTTATATTTTCTTGTTTTTGTTGATTTTTTAGTTCCTGTATTTCAGTATCAACTGTATTTCTAATACCAATGGCTAATTCAATTGTATTTTTTTGTATACCAAAAAGTGTCATTTTATGTGATACTTGTTCGGATATTGCTTCTGAATTTGATGCTTGTTGAATTATATGTAACATTGGTTCAAAATTATCATTTATTATTTGTTTTGCTTGTTTAAAATCATTAATTGCTTCATCAATTTGATTTTTATTTGTTTGACAATCTTGACCATATTCAGCAATTCGTGCATATCCACGATTATAATAAGCATTTACTTGAAAATATTCATCTAATTTTATTGCTTTTGTAAATTCATCAATTACTTTTTTATTCTTTTTCTTATCTTTATCATTTAAATATTCATTACCCATTAAAATATAAAAATATGGATTTTGAATTAAATTATCTTTACTTTTATCAGTTAAAATTTCTTGTTTAAATATTTCAAAATTTATTTAACATTTCTTCTTTTGTTATTAATGTTGTTGTTGTTGCTTCTTGCATTTTTAACCAAATACCAAATCTATCTTCAATTGCTCGTATTTTAATTCTAATTTCCATATTTGTTACAAGATCAGTTCCACAAATTATTGCCAATAGTTTACACAATTCTTCAAATATTGCATCTTTAATTGTTACTTTTTCTATGTCTGTTTTTGCTTTATATATTCCAATTTCTTCTTGTATATTTCTCTCAGTTTTTAATTTATGATAATTATTTTCATGTTTTTGTAATAAAATAAATTGACTAGTTCCTTTATTTCCTGTTCTCGATGTTCTACCAACATTTTGTTGTTCAACTCGTTCATTTGGTGGTAAAAATGTAATTAATACATGTAATCCACCATTTTTTTCAATTTTATTTGTTCGAATATCTGTTCCTCTACCAGCAATATTTGTTGCAATAATTATTTCACTAGGCTTCATTTCTTCTTCAATAATATTTGATTCATCTTCCGTTCTATATTGTTTTATTTTTGTTCCATCATATCCAGCCGTTATTAATCGATTTTTAATTTCATCAACTTCTTTTATATATTTTGTAATTATTAATACACCTCTACCATTATTCAATTTATTTATTGAACTTTCAACAATATTATTGTCCATTCATCTTCATTATTCACAATTATTGGTGTCAATTCTTTATATTGTTTTTTTCTAAATGGTGGAATAATAACATTATCAACTTTATAGATTTCATTTAATAATTTTTTGTGCATTAATACTTCCAAGTGTCCCAGTTAATCCATAAATATTATGATGATAACGTTTAAAATAAGTTACATTTGAAATAAAATTTGTTGTTAAACTTTCAGCTGAAATTTTTTCACCATGTTTTATTTGTAAAAATTGATGTAAACCATTATTCCAATGCATATTTGGTTGTACAATACCCGTATTAGTTGCATCAACTGGTGCTATTTTCCCATTTCGAAGAATATAATGTTGTTCATTTTCACATCGATATTTTCCATAAATACCACTATCAATCTATTTTGTTAATTGACATTCAATTACTAATTCTCTTAAATGTTTTGGAATTTTTATTTCTGGATATTCATTGGGAATTATTTTATCCTCATCATTTGTTAAATATTTAACATCTCGAATTACTTTCGTATATGTTTTTCTGTAGCATTTTTAATAAATTCTTCTTTTGAACCATTAATTGGAAAAGCATTCTCAATAACATCAGATTTAATTGTACCATCATCATTGAACATATGCTCTGATTGTTCAATAAAATAATCTTTACTATTAATTTCTTTAATACAATTGGCAACTTGTACAATTTGTATCCAAATTGCTGCTTAAAGTGGTTCTAAATGATCCATTGTCGGCATTGGTGAAGATAACATAACCATATTATTTTTACCATCAATTAACATTGAATCAACTTCATCAACAATTGCAACATCACATTTTCGACCATTACGTATACCTAATTTACTATATTCATCACGTAAAATATCTCCTTGAAAATCACTTGCTGCACCATAAACAATATCAGCTTTATATCGTGTTTTAATATCTATTAAATCTTTTCCATTATGAGATACTGTTAAATTAAATTGTTGATCAAATTCTCTCCGTTGTATTGATTGTGATTTAGCTAATTCTGGTGAACTTGTAACAATATCTATTTGATGTCCATTAAGAGCTTTATTGCAGCTAACATTGCAACAATTGTTGTTTTACCTTCATCAGTATTTATTTGTGAAAGATGTCCAGTATCATTTTCAGAATTTATCATAATTAATACAGATAATAATTGAATTTCTCTTGGAGGAAATTTACTTGTAATTTCGACAGCTCTTTTTACAACGGCAATTATTTCATATTGATTAATAGAATTCGATGATGATGATGATGATGATATTTGCAATTTTTTTAACTATTTCACTCCATTCTTTTATGTTTATTGTTGACCATTTTTTAATTAAATCAAAATTCGAACAAATTTTAGATTTACTTTCGTATGCAATACTAACTTTTTCATATTCTTCTGTTAATTTTTTATCCTGTAAAAATGAAATTTGCTGATCAATATTTAAATCTAATATGTGCTTTCCTTATGTCCTTTCTTAATTGTTCAAAATTTTTATCATAAGTACCTCTAAATGTTTGAAATATTGCCAAATCATGTACTTCTTTTGTTAAATTTTCTGACAAAAATGATGATAATAATGATGATGATGATGTTAAAATATCAATTAAATTTTTTCCTTTTATATTATTGTCAAATTCTTTTAAATTATATTCATAAATTGGATCTAATGCATTGAATAAATTTTCAAGTATCTCTTTCGAATTAATATGATCAATTAATTGTTTTATGGATTTTATTGACCAACCAGAATCTAAAACTTTTGTTAATTTTTTATGTAGTTTATTAATCATTTCACATTCGTTTGTATCAATTAGTCTTTGATTTTTAATCAATTTATTATCATTTTTTTTATTTAAATCTAAATTTATACATAAAATTTGTTCATTAAATTCATTTATCTCAACAGAAAGTTCATTTAAAAATTTTTCAATTTCATTATCTGTTAATTTCTTTATTAAGTCATTTGGATCGATTTTTTTCTCTTTATTTTGATTAATAATTGTTAGTTTTTGATCTGATATTTTTATAATATTTTTTTCTATTGAATAAATTTCTTCGATTTCTAATATATTTATAATTTTTCTCCTCAGTTGAACACTATCTTGACGAAAATCCACGTCACATTATTCGAGTGTGCTGCTTCAATTACGTACAAATATTGATAATCTTTTTTTTCAATAAATTTTCTTCTTTTGATAAACAAATTGATATTCGTAATCCATTTTCAAATTTACTTTTTTCATTAATTATTATTTGACAATTTAAATTATTGTTTATTTGAAGAAAAAAATTTTTTATGAATTTTAATTCAACAGAATGATGATTAACAATTTCTCGTCGTTTGTACGATTGAAATAAACTCAATGCATACATTTTTGGAAATTCTTGATGACGAAGTTCAATGGCTTGTTCTTGTGTAGTAAAATTATAATTTTCAAATTTGTCAATAAATGATAAAAATTGTTTTTTATCAGATAATTTTTTTGCCATATGTTTCATATTTGCTAGTGTAAATACTCCACAATTGTAATCATCAAATTGATCACAAGAACGATGAAATTTAAATTGTTTATTATTATTATTGTTTATTTTTATTATAAATTAATGCCAAAGTTATCCAATGAATACCAGCAATATTCAATGGAATAATTCTCCACTTTTCATCTTGTTTATATTCATTTAACAGTTCAATTAAAATTGTTGATAAATTTCTATCCTGCTGTTGACCTAATGGTTGAGTTATTCGAATATTTTGATCAGAAAATTGTTTCATCCATTCCGATGATATTTGTGCAATATCTTCTGCATTATACCAATATGTTGTATTTGATTCATTATATGCATTTCGTACAAAAGATTTCCTTTTCCCTACCAAATTAGAACGTTTATTACCATTAAAATATTGTGCGTAATTCGAAAATTTTTTTGTTAATAGTACCTAAACTAATCGATCATCTAATTTAAATTTTAAATTATCTAAATTAATTTTATTTGTTATTTCATTTGATAAAAAATATTCATTACTTTCTCTTGGTAAACCACAATTGAATAATTTAATAAAAATGAAATTAATTCATCAATATTTGTATGTTCATTAATATTACTTAAAAAGAAATTAATTATTTCCGTTCTATAGGGGACCACTCAAGCATTACGTAAGCAAGGGTAGGGGAGGAGGAAATCAAGAGATTATTACCCTTGATTATCCTAGAGAGGGGAGAGGATCTTCCAAAGTTTACGTAATCTATTGAAAAATGATACTCGGTCCATATACTATCACTTTATTGGTTCAATAGACGCTGTGGGTTCATTCAACTGACGTGGAATACAGATGTGCGTCCATAACCTATCTGCACTGAAGAGCTTCTTTTGGTTCTGGCTTCAGTTCCGATTCCGATCGTATTCCGAAAATTGGCTTCATTGCTGGTATTTCGAGAGCAGTATTGATCCCGCTGATCTTGGATTGTGATGTTTTCTTCTTTACCTTGGGAAGATGCATACTAGGAGAATGATTATGTTGGGAATCCAAAACAAGAAAAACGTTTTCTTTTTTTTGATAATAACAGCTTTCAGATGTGGTCAAGTGTGACTCACTCCAGACCTTTGTTGTAACGCTTACGCACAGTAGACATCCGGGCCGACATTTAGCGAAAATCGAAAGTACGGTTTTTTAAAATCAAAATAGTGGCAAATATACTTTGATAGATGAGCTGTCTAATGGCATAAAAAGTTTTGTTTCGAACGAGGAATTTACGCGTAATAAAAAACTGTTGAAGAAAAAATACCTCGTATATCCGTGACATCCATGTAAAATCAATTTTTCATTGTACTGAATTATATTTAAATTTTCGAAACATGTTATTTGGAATTAGAACGCTCCTAGCAGTCTATTGGTAAAAAGAAATTCTTCTCAGATCTAGTTTTTTAGCGGAAAAGAGTGTGATCTGGGTGTCGACCTCAATCTCGGCGCCAGTTATATCCCAAAAGTAGGCATACATAACCGCAACCGTAAATAACAACTTAGTGTATGTTTGGTTTTTAGTTCTTTGGTATCGGTTTACATTAGAAGTAGACAAGGATGGTCTTTGTCCTGACGCTCTAGTGCATCTGCTATAGTGACAGTATACATTACGTTGCACAAAAACGGCTGTTAAGTGGCGGCATCGGTAAATATCCTAGTAACCACTGTTTGTCAGAGTAACTTGGCTTTTTTAATCAAAATCTCTCACCTTTCATCATGAATCTCAACATTTTATCTAATGAATTTGAGTACCACACAGGTTTAAAGTGCATTCATGTCACTATAGCAAAAGTACTAAAACGTTAGGACAAAGTCCATCCTTGTCTACTTTTAATTTAAACCGAAATCAAAGAACTAAAAACCAAATATACACTAAGTTGTTATAAAGCGGTTATTTACGGTTACGGAAAACTTTTAATATGCGTACTTTTCAAGCAATCCATTTCAGGAAAAAGGTGAAATTTATCGGTTATAACTGGTGCATGCCTAAATGGCTCTTTCACGACATTCGCAATTAGAACCTTTCACTTGCTTT